AGAAAAAATGAGTAGACATCCTGTATATAGAGAAAGATTATTAAACGTCACAACGTAAAGAATAATCAATCTTGAAATAAATTCACGCTAAAAAAAGTTGAAAATAGGGACTGATTACAAGAAAAAGTGACTTTAGTGACTTGACCTTAAAAAGACTGGCTTGAAAAAAGTGACTCACTACCAGCCCTGGAAAAATGTCCAATCAGATTCAAAGTGTCTATGTGGATCATGCATGATCTATTTCCAAGTAACTCAGATGGTGGGCTTCGTGGTCGTGCGGTTAGCGGCGTCACCCGTCGTTCAGGCGTATTGTGAGTGCCACGAAGTTGAGGGTTCGATTTCCGCTCCAGCCGGTGGAACTTTTCGCAACCCGGAAATTTCCCTACTGGTCTACTGGGTGTTGTGTGTTGTCCATTGTCTAGTGTTAAGTATTCAGTCTGTACAACCTCTGGTTGAAGACGGTGTCAATTGTCTTTTCTGTTCAATGTTCTTCAAATCGTCCTGGAGTTTAGATAATTTGATCTACTAGATCAACCGACATTGGGACAATGTCTTTAGTATCGAAATATTTCCAGACAGATGCACAGTGTCTATGCGGATCATGCATGAACTATTGCCATGTCTACCAGATGTTTTAAGTTATCCAAATCGTTCTGGAGTTCAGATGATTTATTCTACTAGATCAACCATGACTGCGACTGTGTATCAAAATACAGACTGCGTCTGTAGTATCAAAATATGTCCAAACAGATTCATAGTGTCTATATGGATAATGTTTAATTATTTACACGTATACCAGATGATCTAGGTTCTCCAAATCGTCCTACAGTTCAGATGATTTGTTTTACTAGATCAACAAAGACTGGGATAATCTCTGTAGTATCGAAATATCGATATACAAATCCTAGAAAATTTGACATACACGAAAATAGGTTGGCACGATCCACATAGACACTATGAATCTGTTTGGACATTAGACTGATGCAAAATTTGACTTTATCGCTCCACAGTGCTTAACTGGTTCCATATCGGGTCCTGATTAGCCTCTCAAAGTTATAACTCATTTGGTTAGAAACAGACTTCGCACAAGCCATTTGAAGTTTACATGTAAATTACTATGGGAAATCTCAATTTTTTGTTCATTGCCTTCTAGTCTTTTTCCATATTGAGCTGCAAAATAGTTCGATAGCCATTATTATAGAAAATTTTCTCAGCTACAACTTTGCTGAAGATTGTTTCTATGTAAAACGAGACAGGAAAAATTTATTAATTATTTAAGAGATTGGTAAACTTATGACATGATCAAGCTGCTGCTCTGTAGGCAACACTGTATTTTGCAGTGTGACATAGTAGCCATGATTTGTGTGTCCTATTCAACGCCCAAGAAACACCAATGTTGCCTGCTGAGCAGTTGATTGAGCATGATCATAAGACATCAGCGCATTGAACCATTGATAATTTTCGATCCTTGCATTAGTAGTCTTCAGCAAAGTTGTAGCTGGGAAAAATTCCTACAAGTACAGTTGAAAACTTTTTAAGCAGACCGATATGGTGAATTATTAGATAGACATCAACAAAAATCTTGGTTTTACCATAGTAATTTCCATACAAACTTCAAATGGTTTGTGCCATCTCAGTTTCTCACCAAATGGGTTCAAATTTTGAGAGGTTAGTCAGGATCCGATTTGGAATCGTGTAAGTATTGTGGAGCGAAAATTTCAAATTTTGCATCACTCTATTGGACATATTTCGATACAACAGACATTATTGCAGTCTTGGTTTATATAGTAGAACAAATCAACTGAACTCCAGGACGATTTGGAGAACCTAGAATATCCAGTATATATGGCAATTACTCGCATATATACGATTCGTTTATGATTTGACAACGAAAAAGGCTATGTTCATATTGGAAATAAAAAAAAACATGAAAATGTCTCACATTGGACAGACCCCAGGGAATTTCCGTGTAAATCCGGTGTGACTTATGGAATTGAGATCATTTCTCGATTATTTGCAGGGTGTTTGAATTGAGTGGGGAAAAAATTAAGAGCCAAATGAACAGCAAAATAATACGGGACGCAAAGGTTACAACGAATTCCACAATTTTTGTGACAGCACATCAGTCCCTTCGCGATTTTCGCGACATCATTTAATGTTTCCGCGATTTTCGCGACTGAAAGTTCAAATCCGCGAAAATCGCGAAATCCGCGCCTGTTGTAACAGCCCTGCAAGTCAATTGATCAAGTCAGTTGAATTCAACTGACTTGAAAGCAAATTGAACGTGTAAACCATGCCATTCAACTGACTTGATCAACTCACTAGAATTGAAAAAAGTTGATTCAAGCTCAACTTTTCAAGCCAATTGAATTCAACTGAGTTGTTCATTTGACTTGCCTAGTCTAAACCCAGCTTTAGAGGATTAAAAACTAAACGTTTTAGTCAGCCGTTCCGTGTTTGACAAAAAAAAAGATGATCGTTGGAAGCAATACATTATGTTTAAAAAAAAAACTTAAAATGGGTACACAACGGATTCGAATCACCAACGTTGTGATTATCAGGCTTGTGTCTTCATCACTGGTCTATCAACGCTTAGCAGAATGGATAGACTAAAGGAAAACAAGAAGCGCGTATAGTGTGGTAACTAGTCTGCTCACATGCGACGGTATTTGCTTTTTTTTGTCCATGCATAATAGAAAAAGGCGAAGTGAAGGGTAAAAGAAGGATTACTGTCGGCCTCTCTTCGTCAATGACGAAGAATGTATGCAAATGATGGTTTTTGTGCCGCGACAATTTATTTTTGGTTTTTGTCAAACGTCACCGACCAAACTAACCGTTACCCAAACTCTGCTGGCAAGGCAAGTCTTCCGTTTTTTTTTTCATCCAACCGCTATGAGAAAAGCAACAATGGATTAGGTCCTTGATTTGTTTTTCGTCGATCTTATTTTCTGTACTGAATACCAATGCTACCGACGCCAGGAAGGCAGCTCCCGGCAGATTTTATGCCTCAGAAAATCCCGGCGGCACCGACTGGGGATTAAAACCCAGGCCTTTTGGGGTGAGAGGCAATCACGCTTACCACTACACCACTAGTGCCGCTTAATGGATTAGAACCTAAGTAACAGTGACAGATTCTCTTCGTCGCTTTTCTCTTTGCATCCCCACGGCTATGTATAGACATTTCCAGCTATTTTCAACACAGTTCGATAAAAGAAGCTATTATCAAGCATCTAATCTGGTAAACACGATTATAAACTGCTTTTCAGGTTATTAACGTAAGAGAAAGTCGATCAATGTTTCTTAGGAACTAATCCATTGTTCGGCTTGAAATGCCCCGAACGAATTTGATGGCAAAGATCCCAACCTCAGAAAGGATTTTTCTAATTTTTTTTGCGTTGCTTCCACCTTTGCTCAAGCGCAGCGCTACTGTATCTGTCAATTGGATTCTGGCACCGTTGCCAGTCTTCTTGATATGATGTCTTCGTTGAAATGTAGCAATGAGTTACGTGAGATTTCAAACTTGAACAAATCCTCTATACGCCGAACGTAAAATTCAATATCCCAGTCATGGAGGTAGATTCTATTTATAGATTCTATGTCTGCGAGCTGAAAAGTTTTCAAGGATCTTAACAAAAGTATGTACAAATGTCAAACATTGGACATCGAACAAAATTGAGATTGCGAGGTCAACAAAAAATTACGTGTCTGAGGCTTAGAAATTGATAAGGATTCTCACTGGAATCATTTAGGAAAATTATCACGATCTTGGACTTGAATTTTATTTGAAAATTTTGACATTGCTTATTTTGTGAGATCTGACATAATTTTTGGTATGCCGTACCATCCCGTATCCACATTCCTCTTGCGTGGATAACCATCAATATATATAAAAAATATGGATCGTGGACATTCGACACTGATCTTCTACCACGATATCACAATCATAAACATCAATGAGCAATGCTAATTTTCCACCATTCACAAGAACATTGTATAGCAGGATTTCCTTACCCTCGTGTGTCCTTCACGCGTTCGCATCGAATTTGATTTGTTCCGATTTAATTGTGACTTATCATGTGTGCTGTATAATACGTCGTCCACAATTTTCAAACAAAAGAACCTAATTTGTATATATACCCACACCGCGGTAGGGATAATTTTCACATGTGTGTTAAAACGCTAACGCTGCGAACGATGGTCGATCATGACGATAATATAAGAATATAGAAAAACAACAGTGTTCAAAACTAAGGCAAAGAGTTGTATGACTGAGAATCAGAAATATTCGTACCGAAGAGGAATAAGAGGTATATACCATACTGCTACTGCTGAGAGGTACCTACCAATTAGAATAAGCAACAAATGAACAGCTCAGTGGCAAAAAAAAGAGGGAGTCGATGATGTGTGTTATAAAAGAACCATGGTCAGCGCCAGGCCAAACAAACATGATGAACCATAGTTACAAAGTGTGGCGGTTTCATTGGCAATTAGAAATAGGCACCACGTTTTCTTCCCTTTGGTTCTCTTCATATAGTTAGTGACTGTTTCCAATGGGTGTATGTCTGTATAATACAGGTTTATATGAGCGGAAGGAAGGTTCATGGAACTGGGACTGGCAGAGAAAGAAGTTGAATTGGAAGATGGGCACAAAGCAACTCGTTGCGGTACCGTCTGAATATTGCGTCGTAAAACGGCTACATCCTTAGAAAATGAATGCAGAACTGCGAAAACGGGACTTTTTTGGCAAACTGCTGAAGGATGGGGAACACACCCCTGGAAAATCGGGGAAGCAGGTAAGGAATTGAACAAGTTTCTTTGTTCTCTGCAACGTGGGGACAATGTTCTAACTAATGTGTCTGGATGATAACGAATACATTGAACTGATATAAAAGGGTGCAACCCAAGAATCTTTTCGAACATCTACAAGGCAGATTCTGTCGTGAATGGTCCATTCATAAGAAAATAGCTTTATCAAATGAATTTTATTTTTGTGTACTAACCTCGAATCTATTTCTGGACACTACTTGGTTCATCTTGTCCGCACTCTTCATGTCACTTCGCTGTTCTGCTTTTGCCCCTCTCGTAGATCGACTGGTTGAACGACGTTTTTGAGTAATTTTGGAGCCGTCTGAACCCCAGCGCTCCAGCTTAAATCGCACACAGACACTTCACCGCACTTGACACGTTCTTTGTGTCACAATTGCTCAAGATGAAATTCTATCAGACACAGAACCACTGCTCTTCTCCTCTTGATGTTCATAAAATTTCACGATACAGACTGGACCCAAAACCTTGATCAGCAGTTTGCACTTTCAACTTCTTCGCTTGATTTGGATTCAATCACTTTGTCATTTTCTTCGGATAATTCCGGAAATAGCACAAATTCTATCGAACTTGCAGTACGCGCACACCTCCGGATCTTCGGGAAGCAGGAACCGATTCTTTATTCTGGTAGAGAAAAGGTTAAACCTATCAGAAGTTCTCGCAATTCAATATGGCGAAGTTTATTTTTTATTTTCTCTGCTCTCTGCTTATTTTCTTTTTTGTTGTTGCTCTGCTGCTAATGTACTGCTGCTATGCACGAATACCATTACCATCCTCACCAGCCAACCCGAGAAGTTGAACTGGCCCCCGTAGTAGCACTTTGCGCGATGCACAGACACCACACAGAGAACGGGACCAGCCAGCCAGTTAGTCCGCGAGAACCCAACCAATAACAAAAACAACCAGTCAGCAACCCAAACCAAACCAATACACTCGGCAGCGTGCGAGAGAGATAACCGCGGGTAAACTCGTCGTCGCGCATTGGTGTTGGAAACTGTCATAGCTAACTATGCTATTGTGAATTGAGTTCCCGTTTTAAATTCATTCACAAGAAACCTTCGTCAGTTCATTCATGCATTCTTTGTTGATGCATACAAATCCGAGGAATACAAATTCCATTTTGGAGCATCTGAGAACCCGTTTTTCGTAATATGGTACAGTATGGATCCGATTTGGGCAACGCGTCTCCAATATTTTCTATTTGCTCAATACTCAACAGTTTAAAAATTTAAAAGCAGCAAACCCTATTTAATATTTTCTTCGTTCCGGATAATTGCAAAGCCTTGGACGTTGGTAAATGTTTGAAATTATATGTAGTTAGTTACTTGAATTGAAAAATGTACTTTGAGTTGAATTTTCATGACTATTTGACAACGATCCCTTATGGATAGCTAACATGACAATTTTTCTTAAATTGTGGATTGAGTAAAAGGATTCCAAATGCGTAATTTGTATACTCAATAGATGGCGGTAGTGTTTTAGAGACGATGCTTTATGGTGAAAAATATGCAATATGCATAATTGTCTGTGATAATACTATTAAATACAGCTAGTGTTCAACCGAGTAGCGTCGATGTTCGATTTCCACTTGACACGGAATATGCTTCGCCGAAGATTCTCTGCCTTTTTTGCTGACCGAAGGCGCTTGATACCCAACAGCTAAGTGTAAAATTTAATTTTTAGTAACTTGACAATGCTTTCCAAGTTATTTTCGTTTGTAACTGTAGTAACTGTAGTATATGTATGTCGTCTGTATAATCTGTACTTTTTTTACAACACATCATTGGGACTATTTCTAGTCTGTTGATGCAACCATAACAAATAAAAAAATACAAGAGACCAGCCTAAGGCTGAAAGTCTCTATAATAATGACAAAAAAAAACTATTATAATATCATAATACCGCTTCCAAAAAAATGTAATTTTATATCAACATACAAAAATAGAAACAATTTCATACTTAATTAGCTCAAATTTTGGGAGAAATACTCGCGTCTTATTTGGGCAATGATAGTAAGAAGATAAAATAGACAATGTACAGGTAACGGCTCCCTACTACCCACAAAACACATGGCAGTTGATGATGCATTAGCAGTTACTGTTAAACTAATTCAGAATATCATAAATGGAAATGCTACCAAATTGTCCGACTAGGGTTAAACAGAGCCCGAAATTCATTCGAGTGCCCATATAACTGTTGGTTGGTATGTATTGGCACGCATGTCCTGATATACTCATCACTAACACACGACAAGCACAGCCTTTGAACGGTGGGACACTGAATATGCGTCTACATCCTAAACCCACACATCTGCGAATTTTTATTATCAATCAGCTGTTGGTTGTTTTGGTTTGATTGTGGTATGCAAGAGGGAAGATGAATGGAAAAGGAAAACACTGTCTGAATGATGAATTTCTACCAACACATCTATAAGTGGGCATCCTCCCTGGTCGGGGGTGTTGACAATGACGATAGGTCATTACGAATGCTTGCATGATAATAACAACATGCGTAACATGCATTGCGATTAGATTATAGAAAACTTTTGAATAATCGAAACAATCATTACATTTCAAACACTGTGACATTATAAAGTAAGTCAAGTAAGTTTGAGCAGACTGAACAGAAGACAAGGGGCATACCAAAGAATGCTGGATTGCAGCATGAATATTGATTTCTATTTCTGTATGTTTATCTTTTTATGTTACATTCTAATTGGATTACACTACTTTTTATTGCATCAATATGCTTTATGTAATGAAAACCCGTATCAAAATTATTATTATTTTTACTGAGCCTCCTTAATCGGTATTTAATAGGCTCCAAGTGAACAATAATTTTTACTTTTGCTCCGGAACATTCTAAACATAAATATGCACTTGACTACCGAGTGTTTTGGTCCCCAGTTGCAGCTAGCAGGCTTTTGAATTTCACTGAAAATTCTCATCTGATACGCATTACCGATACGGGGTACAATCATATTTACCGATGGCTGTTTGTATTCCCACAAATCGTGACAATTTCTAGCAATAAATTTCAACACACGCACGTTCTAGTAAATCACAGCAGTAAGCAGGAAAAAATTAAACTACTTTTTTGACCAAGAACGACATCGCGAGAAACAAAATCCCTGCAAAAATCACTATCTTTGTTGCATGTTCCGTCACGATCAGTTTTTTTTGCGCTCTGTTTGATGTTTGACACTAAACTTTGTTTTTGTCACTCGGGTGTAAACTTTCGATAAGTTTTCTCGTCAGAGTCGTACTACACGATAAACATGATGGTAGTACCAACAATCAATACGAAACTAACGATATTAAATTGGCTCACTAATTGACTAGCCTATTGGTCCCAAGCAAATCGACTAACGTACCCCATTATAGTATACATTCCAGTACTACACTATGTTTGTTTTGATTCGCTATGAAAATTTGACAGATAAAATGAGGGGTTAGCTAGGGGAAGTACAACTTGATCTGAAGTAATATTTAGTGTAAGAATTGCTCAAATTGGTAGTTATTATAGTTTTTAGTATAAATATTGATGATATTAACTGTCAAGCGGAAAGCTCAAAGTAAAAAAAATTAACAGTGTAACTTTAACGCATACACTCAACGACGTTTCACCATTGTTGTTTATATTTACAGCAACTTTCTGTTTGTATCCGTTTTGCCTAGATTTTGATTTTCGATAGCTCTGATTGTTTTCGCCTTCGGCTTTTGATGCTAAAAACGGCACTGGACGTTCCCTCAGCAGCAAATCTCTCCAAGTTGCTGGCTTATGGCGAATCGAGCGTAATACGACCACGGAACCAACACTCTGGAACTCCGTTTAGAGGGGCGCCGTTGACAGTCGATTCCCGTTCCGTCGAAGGACAGCACATTGGTTTCGTGGAAATTAATGACTATTTCCTGGGAACGGAAGTTCGGCCGATTATGTGCACTGAGATCACCTACCAAAGAATGCCAAATTTATGAGAACAAGGGGTGGATTTCCGTGGCGATGGCCAGCAAGACCATCAAGGAATGACTTGTGTCTCGTGTGAAATCTGTTTTTGATTAAATGAATGTCAAATGTACACTAAAAACCAAAAATATTAAAAAAGAAAAAAAAACAACCGTCAGACAAAGTATAAGATTCATAAATATTAAAATATCTAATATTTCCACCATCGGTATTGATGCAGATATTTGGAGCTGTCCTTCCTCTAGGGGGTTAGTGGATTTTCTTATGTTTCGAGTTGTGAATCGATTAGCTTGGGACCGAGTTTGGGACCGTAGATAGTTCCAGAGCTGAGCCAAAAAGTTGAGTTCTTTCTTCGGAACCTTCTGGTCTTAGAGTTACCTCTATATGGTAGTACCAACAATCAATACGAAACTATCGATTTGAAATTGGCTCACTACACTAATAGAATTCCACACATTTTTATTGACGAATTTTCATGTAAAATTCCACATGATTTTCATGTGACCACACATAAACAGAATCCACCCAGAAGCACACATGAAATTTATGAGTCAAATTAATAGTATGTGTGGTTACACATGGCTTTTATGTGTACACATATTAAGTATGTGTCTGACACATAGATATCATTTGTTGATCACATTGCAAAAAATCATGTGTGGGACACACAAAAACAATCTTCGAAATTTTATCAGTGTACTTGACTAGCCTATTGGTCCCAAGCAAATCGATTAACGTAGCCCACTCTAGCCCAGTGCATGAAAAAGTACACGTGGTACGTTTTAATATGTGTAGTGGTGACCACGGTGGCGATTGGCGCCATATTATACGTTTTGAACCGCTCGACCAACAATAACGCAAACTGATCCGCATCATGGCACATCGATGAAATTGCAATTTTTAATTTTTTTTTATTATATGTGTATTGTGTCTTTCACGAATATTTAGACTATAGAGACGAAATTGAGGGAGCTCGTAGATGGTTCAAATGTCAAAAACTACCACCTTTCCCTATTTACGTCATGTGTCTTGATCATTAAAATTTTGTAAATAAAAGAAACGTCAGTTTACATCGATGTTCAACTAAAAACGTAACTATTTCATAAATACTATTGCGTAAAATGGCATCTATTATTTCCGTTGTGAAATATCAGAGAGCGTCAGTGAATACCATATATCATATTTTATATGGATATTATTTCCTTGGATTGTCCAAATCGAGGCTAGCAACAATTTATCACAAACACAAGTTCACAATCACAAATTGGATCATGCGATACGAGGAGGACGGATTCTATTCTCGCCGAAGTTACGAAAGGGATGCTGTGAAATTCTCTCCCGAAAAACGACAATGGTTGATAAACCTGTATCTACAAAATCCTACGCTTTATCTACATGAATCTAGAAAGCGGTTCCAGCAGGAGTTCAAGACGACAATATCTATTTCATCCATTTGGCGCATCATACATAACGCTGGTTTGACCTGGAAATGTTTGGAACGTCGTGCAATTCAAATCAAGGAAAGTGATGTAATCCGTTTTTTCAACGAAATTTCGTGCATTCAGTGGGACTACCACAACCTCGTCTTTTTAGACGAGGTTAGTTTCGATAACAGATCCATGTTACGCTCCAGGGGCTACGGAGTTCGAGGCCACCGCTTAGTGTTTCGAGGAGAATTTGTGCGGAAACCTACACACAAAGAATTATCGTTGATACAATTAAAAAAAACATTGGTAGAATTAAAAGTTTGCGTTGGTTCTTTTTGGTAGAAAGTCTTTCGCATTCAAAACAAAAGTCAGCCAACTGTCAATTCAAAAGTAAGCCGCACCCTATTTTTAAAAGTAGAAACTTTCAAACCGAATTGTACTACTGTCAAAATAAAAACATGGCAGTTTTTAATTTGAAAGCAGATTGTTTCTAATCCACTACATACTTTTGGCAGAAAAGTGTGATATAGTTAAAAAGATATGGTCTATTTTGAATCTACATCAAAATTGTTTT